AAAGTTGTTGAACTCCACACTTGCCTAACAAATAGGAGGAAAAAAAATCATCAGCAGCTCACTGCACGTTACCTTGCCCGTCGTATATTGGGGCTCGTTGATGACAATATACGAAGTTTAACAAAGTGGTTTATATAGTCACGTCCATATCTCCTCTTCCGTGCAATTACTTGCATCCCCTTCAAGTCATCAAGAACTTATCTTGACCATAATAAGATTTCCACTTGCATTTTCTAGTGCTCTGTTCAAACAAAAAATTATATCATAATTCTTCAAAAAATCTAGAAAATACAATTTTAGGTTTTGAACACCAATAACCAACCTCATCATAGTAAACCACATGGCCGCAATAATGGCCTATTCCAAGCTCCGAAGGGATTAGACCATAGTTGGATTTAACATCACATTCGCACATGATAGGAGGTGCTTTGTAAATTATCCTTTCTTTCTTTTTTCCTTAACCTTTGGCGGTTCTTTCGGTCATTGGTTCTTAGGACCATACAACCACTCCTTAAAACGACACTTCACCATTGAAAACACCTAAATAAGGTGACATTAGTATATGAACACATATAGCTCAACATTTCAACAGATACACTTTTCACTTACTTCATGTTTGTTTGGACACACAAACTCCAACATATTTCTAGGGTTTATCACAGCTCGATCTCCGTATTCGCACAGATGAGGTTCCTCGAGTCGTCTAACTGCGGCTAGGTGCTTCTCCTTAGCCGTCATTGGCGGGGGGTTAGGGGGAGGTGGAACCCACCGCTCGAAAGTGCTCACGTGGATGTCTCCCTCTCCACCAATTGTCGAAAAGGAGGTATCTTGGGTCAAACTTGTCCGAACCATCGATCCACTGAAAGAAAAAGCACCTCTCATGGGTCATACACAACAAGATTCTAACAAAATATTAGTAACCTAGTAATACAAATAAAGAAAAAAAAAACATACGGAAACAATTATTTACATTAAAACGACTGCATGTGTTGAAGCAACGAGCCGCTGTGTCCGAATGTCTCGATTGAAACACGTCGGCCGGACGACCAAAGTCACAGTTAGGGACAGGGAGGTCAGGAGGGACGGGGCATCTTTACTAGACTCGTCAGAGTACAATTCTCTAGGACGACCCCATTTTCGTCCCAATTGCTCCCGAAACATGTCTTCCATCTAATAAAACGGTTCAAATTAAACATCAATCAAAACAACACAAATTAATATAAAATATAATCATTTGCATTGCAACTCAAATAATATAACCAACACTTATAGCAACAAAAATACATATGGTAAACATACTTCTAACTAAATAATTAACCTTAACATTGACAAAATCAAACTAATATCTTCCTCCAAACCATAGCCCATAGTTCCCAAACATAATTTTCCTCCTAACCTTAACTTCTATTCATAATATTTCAATCCACCAATCAAACGAAAATAAAAGTGCATCATTACCTTGAACGAGGCCGATGAGGGAGGGAGTTGGCCAGGGAATGGAAGGAAAGGGATGGAGGGAGGTGGCAACGGAGGGCCGGACGCCGACAACACTTGGGATTGGCGGGAGGGCGCGGCGCGGAAGTCGTCCACCGCGTTAAGGCAGACAGAGGGAGGGCGGCTCGTGGGCGATATTTAGCCGGCTCTACCGCGCCACCAATCAGGGCGCGTCACTGCCGCGCCAAGATCGGTGGCGCGGCAGACCCTGCCACATCATCCCTCTCGCCGCGCCACCATGTATGGCGTGGCACAGGCGTTTCTCCGCGCCAGAGAAATAGGCGTGAGCAAAAATGTTAGTTTTGAAAAAATAAAAATAAAACAGTGTTAGATTTAAAATTAGTTTAAAAAAGTGTTAAAATAAAAAAATCTCCGAGTTTGGGTATGTTTGCTTTTCACCCAAATATGCCATGCATTAGTGAAGCCAAAACTTAGCGGTAGCTAATTTTTTTAACGAAATTGGTGACTATGGTAAAGCTAACCAAATGAAGATCAATGTTGATGAAAGTAGCCAAAAATTTAGCACGTACGTCATCCGTTAGCACACGGTTGACCAATCACCAATCACGCTCAAATGATCTTTTATTTACCGTCACATGTTTAGTCATGTGCACCGCAAAAAGTCTCGTGCCTTTTGCATTCACAAAAAAGGACAACGTATATATGTACGTGATACGTGGATGTGTACTCGAGCCGTACATGGATTTACAAAGCCAAGAATTATTATGTAACCACAAACATATTTCTTTTTGCTTGTTTATTATATTTTGAAACAGATGACAAAATGCAGGTACACTGTTTCTGCCCATCACATGTTTATATATAGTGATGAGAAGTGAGAGAACATCCTCTTATCGCGTCACGAGTTGAAACCAATCGCCGAGGGTTCATACGACATGCCACTCGCGCGCCGCCCTTCTAGATTACCGGTAGTACTTACTGCTACTACAGTTTTTATTATTACTACTCCTTCCTATACGTCGCGGACGCGGCAGGGCAAGCACAAGTTGCAGAATCGAGAAGACGAACTACTAGGTAATCTCGCTCGTGCAGATAAAATAAAGAACAAAGCCCTGATAGCCTGATCCTGTATGGCATCAGAAGTCCATGCTCATGCATCTAGAAGAAGCATGATAGGAACCCTCAGAAACACTCAGCAACAACCTGAACTGAAGCCGAGGTCAGCCCGCCCCTTCCGATGACACCATAGCTGACGTTTTTCAGCGGCTAGCTCCATCGCACGCACAGGATTACTATTGCCATGCTTCTCAGTCTTGTAGTTGGTTCATTCTTGAGGACAAAATTACTGTAATGAAGAAGAATTCACACGCAGCGCCCACAGCGCGGACATAGGGGAAGGGAACCGTTGACACGCAAAAATGTCCCGGCATGAAAATTGGGTTGCACCGTCAAGTTCATAGCATAGAAGAGGTGCTAGAGGATATTTGGCACAACACAACTTGAAACACAGAGCCAAAAAGGAGAAGACGACGACGCTGCCCCGCCGAAGCCGGATAGGCCAGCCACCAAACTAAAGCCGGCTAGGCCGCCAGGCCGGGTGCCCAAAGCCAGCCTGCCCTGTTGCCGGGCCGGCCATGTGCCTGCCCCCCGTGAAGCCTGGCCTAGCTGACTTTGAAGTCAGGCTAGGCCAACTTTTGTCTGGAGTCCGAACCGATTTATTTCTAAATCGGTTTTTGAATCTATTTTGACTTGAAAATTTTGGAAAATACGTTTTGGTGCCATCAAACAGAATTATCGCCATGCTTATGAGTCTCAGTTGGTTCATTCTTGGGGACAAAGTTAATTAAGGAAGAAGAAGAAGAAGAAGGGATGGCACACGCAGCGCCCGCGCCGCGGACACAGGGAAGGGTACGAAGCGTCCAAGCCCGCCATCGCCGTCGTATCGGCGTGGTTGTGGTTCTGTCTACAAATCTGCTTGTGCGTGCGCTCGTAGCCACTCGATCGCTTGGCGATCCACGATCCTCTTTTTCCACGGCGCACGCCCGGCACCGGCGCACCGCTGAAAAGTCTCCCCTGGAATGGTCGCCCGCCGAGACCGAGCTGGCGAGCTCACGTTCACATCCTGCCCGCGATGACCCGACGAGCGACTTGCCCGGAAAAAAAGGCGTCTCGCTCGTCGCTGCCAGTAGGATCTCGGGTGTGCCTCGCTCGTTTGTTAGCTACAGGTACTCCTCGGCATTCGCAATTAGCTTCTTGGCTGCTTCAGCTCCGTCTTCCAAACGACGCAGGGGGGTGTTGGAAGATTCCTGCAGGCTCCTGAAGCTGACCGACGTCATTGGAGAGCGACGGTCTCCACGTCGGAGCACATGCACAGCATGACAGCACACTGACGGTCGCCTGTTGCTGTTCCAGTCACGCAGACGACCGACGGGGAGACCGGTCCGGCCAACAGCTAGCGAACGCTGCTGGCTCGCTGCTGGTGCCTGGTGCCTGGTGCTGACCGAGACCGAACCTTTGCCCGTGCGCGCTGGCTGGCTGGCTGGCGGCGAACTTTGACGGCCCGTCCGCCCTCCCGACCGGTTTCCCCATTCTAGAAGCAAGTTGGGGGCAAAGGGGCCACGGAGCGGCCAAGGGGCCAACGCATTGGCCAGTCAAACCTCACACGGCCCATGCAACGACCAGCCGCCGATGCGCCCAGGATGCGCGCGGGCGCGGGCGCCAGCGAGCGAGCCCAGCCCCGTCCACGTCCACGTCGTCGTCGTCGTCCGAGTCCCGGTGGCGGCGCACCCGGACACAGGCGACCCCCTTATAAGACCGCCGCGCGACGGCGCACGCCACTCCCCCTCGATTCATCGCCCCTTCGCTCGCTCGTCTGCCGCGCGCGTCTGAGCTGATGCGAGCCAGCGAACCGCGCGAAATCCTAGCAAGTTACCGCGGTCTCGTGCCCGCCAACCGGACGGCCAGGCTTCCGTGACCTCCCTTCCCCTTCCGTAGCTCTTGCTTTCGTCGTCGTCGGCCCGTTTCCAGCCAAAGGCCAAGGAGGAAGGAGGAGTAACTAAAATAACTACTTATAGGTGAGTCGACGCTGCTTCTCTTTTATATCCTTATTTAAAATGGGAAGAAAAATTCCTCTCTACTCGAAAACTTGTGCTTGATTCTTACTTAGAATCCTGACTGGAGCTGGACCCGAATCAATCGACCGCTGCGCTGTGCCTAGTTGCTTCTTAATTTGCATTCAGATTCCTTCTTCGCTTCTACGCTGCGGTTGGTTACCTGATCGACGCGTCTGTATCTATGTGTGTTCTTGCAGCACAAGCAGCCCATCGGAAAGTCGCCGTCGTTGCGGCAGCTTGGCGAGAATTTTTCGCCAAACCTGGCGCGGAGGGACCTGACGACGCCCAGTCCATTCTGGTGGGTAAGAGTAAAGACAGAGTTGGGAAGCGGCGTTGAGACCCAGTGAATTCCTGCACACGCACGCACGCCCATCATTAGTTAGTCGGTGAGAGCGAGGGAGAGACAGAGGAGGTGGAGGGACGCCGGTCGGCATGGAGGGGTCCAACTCGCACGGCGGCAGCGGCGGCGGAGGCGGGACGAGCTCGCCGCCGCCGTTCCTCATCAAGACCTACGAGATGGTGGAGGACCCGGCGACCAACCACGTCGTGTCGTGGGGCCCCGGCGGCGCCAGCTTCGTGGTGTGGAACCCGCCGGACTTCTCGCGGGAGCTGCTGCCCAAGTACTTCAAGCACAACAACTTCTCCAGCTTCATCAGGCAGCTCAACACATACGTGAGTCACTCTAATCTCTGTCGCTCCATGTGTCATGTGTGTGACACCCACTTCTTCGTCACTCTAATATCTGTCGCTCCATGCAAAAACTTGTTGCTGTTGCGCGTCGATTTTCACCATTTCATTTCCGTCTTCTTTTCTAGATGATGTGCCTTTTCCGTGGCAGTTTTTGCATGTTTTTAGTTGGCACCAAACACGTGCTTCGAGTTTCAGTGCTGGAAACAGAATCCCTACTGTGAACGGTCATGATGTGGCATGGCATTCAATTCAAAAAGTGGTTCATGGTTTTTGCAAGGAATCCTGTGTGCTCTGTTTCTAGTTCTTCTGTATAAGAAGCCCATGTTTTCTATTCACTTTTTCAGCATGCTCCATAGCTGCTCATCCTCAAGGTTAGAGGTGGGACTTGGGCCGTGTCGTGCCCTCTACGCACGTCGGGACGTACCGATACGGCACGGTAAATCTATTCTTCGGCTCAAGCATGGCCCGTGGCACGTCGGCACGTCTTCGGGTCGTGTCAACCCAAACATGGCCCTCAAAATATCTCTGCTAGTTTCTTTTTTGCTCGTGATATAAAAAATATATATCTTGTGTGTACCATTTTCATAAAAGTTTTAATGATTTTTATAATCTATTCAAGAATTAGATGAGAGGTAGTATAGTAAATGCTAGAAAATTGTATCGTAGAGTAGTAAATGTATCTATGTGTTATTTTCGTGTCGTGCCAGCCCAAGCATGGCAAAAAATGCGGGCCGGGCTATGTAACCCGCCATGCCGAGATCCTGGGCACGACAAGACCCTCATGTTCGTGTTGTGCCGGTACGGTCCAAAATATTTTGTGCTATGCCGTGCTAAGAGACCGTGCTGTATGACCCACCCTCAAATGGCACGGCAAGTCCCAGCTCTACTCAGGGTCATCGAGATGATTTTGCCGCGGTTCAAAACTGCTATTGCAAGTCAGCATGCAATTTTCCATGCTTCATCTGAACAAAATGCTACCATTCTCTTTTCCCTTCCGTCCTTGTGCAGCATGTTCATGTCATTGTCAAGGCAATGCCAGGACTGTCTGGTACCAAGTTAGCAAATTTAATCTACCATGGAATTGTAAAGCTTTAATTAAAGTGACAAATCTTTTTAACAGTTGGCTCCTCATGGTTTATCTGTCTGTCTTCACTTTCTGCTTGCTAACTTCATTTTACTTTCAGGGTTTCCGAAAGATCGATCCAGAGAGATGGGAGTTCGCCAACGACGACTTCATAAGGGGACACACGCACCTTCTGAAAAACATCCACCGGCGCAAGCCGGTGCATAGCCACTCGCTGCAGACCCAAGTGAACGGGCCGCTAGCGGAGTCCGAGAGGCGGGAGCTGGAGGACGAGATCAACAGGCTCAAGTACGAGAAGGGCCTGCTGCTGGCCGATCTCCAGAGGCAGAACCAGCAGCGGTGCGGGATCAACTGGCAGATGCAGGCGTTGGAGAGCAGGCTGGTGCAGATGGAGGAGCGCCAGAGGAACATCGTGGCCTCCCTGTGTGACATCCTGCAGAGGCACGGGGTTGTTCCGGGCTCGACGACGCTGGTGGAGACGGCGGCGGACCACTTCAGCAAGAAGAGGAGGGTTCCGAAGATCGATTTCTTCGTCGACGACGAACCCAAGGTCGAAGAACAGCAGGTGCCGTTGTTCCTGCAGACAGTGGGCGCAGCAGAAACACCAGGCATGTCTCCGATCCACCTTTTGAATGCTGAGCCGTTTGAGAAGATGGAGCTGGCCTTGATGTCGCTGGAGAATTTCTTCGAGAGGGCAACCCATGCGTCTCCTCAAGACATGTACGCTGGTGGTGCTGCTGAACCACCCAGCCCTGCTCTGAGTCTTGGCGAGATGCTCTCAGTCTCAGCACCAATGGATACCAGTATCAATCTGCAGTCATCAGCTTGCCAGAATCCCTTTGCTTCGACCTCAGGGCAGGACCAGTCGTCTTGTCCATTGGCGGAAGCAGAACCTCCGAGCTACGCCCAGAGCCCGATGCAGCCGATGGCACAGCTCCATGAATATGCCGCCCATAGGACAGCTGAAGTCGATATGAACTCTGACACCACAACCGGCGACACCTCACAAGATGAGACCACCAGTGAAACTGGAGGCTCCCATGTGCCGGCCAAGGTGAACGATGTATTCTGGGAGCGGTTTCTCACAGACGAAGAGGGTAAAAGCGAGGCAATAGAAGCAAAGGAAGATCTGAAGACTGCCGTAGACCGCAGCTGTCTTCGTCTCCAGGACAATGTTGATCAGATTACTGAGCAGATGGGGCAGCTTGATTCAGCTGAGAACCACTCTTATGCACCCCAGAATTACTGATATCACAACATCGGTGCTGATCCATATAGTCCATTTGTAAAGCTATAGCAATGTACATTATAGACTAGTTTAGGCCACCTTGATAGTATAGCTAGCTGAGTCTTTTCTAGCATTTCCTACTGTAAAAAGTAAAATTATCTGCTGACCCATGTACATTATGTCCTTGGGCTGAAGTCGATTATGTAGAGCTAGAGGAGCACAGATTCAGTTATTTGCAGTCTCTAAGCTCTTCCGTTGTTGTGCTTGTGTGTGTACCCTTTCTAATAAATCCTCTGGGATGCATCTTATATAATACCTAAAACAGTAATCTTATCTGATGATTGCACACTTGCTGTGCCATCTAATTACTGTCTCTCCTGTTATGGTGCATGACTGCATGGAGCAAAATGAGCACCGACCTTTAGTGTCAGAGTTGACCCTGGTATGTCAACGGGCAAACTTTCTTTCCAATTTTCAATGGGACATTTCTCGGTCTGGGTATATCATGCTAGCACGATTGCCTTAGGACCTGTTCGGTTAGCTGATTCCAGGCCAGGAACAATACCAGGTTTACTTGATTAGTACGGGTACAAATTAAGCTAGTTGTTCCAGCTGGATTTTTTTCCAGAGAGTGATTCCCTACTAACCGAACATGCCCTTAAAGGGATATCATGTCCAAGGACTAAAGAAAGGCCAAAATTTTTTGAGGCAGAAGGCCTGGGGCTCAAAGAACTCTCAGCTACGTTAGACAGGCGGAACTCAAGTCCAGAAAGAGGAGCTGAAGGTACTCCCTGTCCGTTTTCTACCAATTTCAGATACCAAGGAGCAACCGGAGTTTGTGACAACATATTAATCCAGCGCTAGTTACAGAGCTCTTTATTGGATAATTTTTTTGTGGCATGCATGCGATTGCAGCGCAACAAACACCTCAGTATTAATCTACGCTGGATGCTGAGGTTTTCTATTGGATCGGTATCAATCATGCCAGAAGGAAAATGGGAAAACCTCCATGCAAGCAATTGTTTAGTTTCGTTTGCGAGTAAAAAGCTGCCTTTGTATACATGTGACACCTAATATTAAGAACTTTCTCCAAAATACAAATACACCTTAGAAATTGGACCAGAGGGAGTAATTCTCATCCCTTGTTTTTGTAAAGCTGCAGTCAGTGTAAAAGTGTGTTAGAATTGAGTACATTTTCCAAGTAGACTTTATGCTAACAAAATGGGAGCATCTAGTATGGAAGTGCAAATTATGGAATATGTTAATTTGAATAACAAATATACTTCGTCCCAAGGGATTGTGAATATCGAAGCAATTTAGAAAATAACATAGCATGCAAATATAATCCTAACAAAATTAAGTTTGCCTGCATAAACATAGCACATAAAGAAGTCAAGGGTATATGTTAAGAGTTATGCACAATGTCGTTCATATTCTGCACAGCAAAAGTTCTAATCAAGACTAGGTTACATAATACTTAAGTGCGTATGATTAAGGTTCCAAATGATACCCGAATCTCAAACTTCACTATAGGGGTTGATTTATCGATGAGATCATCAGTTTCAAGTATAGCAGATTCCGCACCAAAGCCATCACAGTTATGCATCATACTCTCAAGACAGCCAGGACTCCCATCTACATTTCATGTTGTAGTGTCCAATCCTTTTCTAGTAAACATTCAGTTTTTGCAGAGCTTTAAGCACTTCTATTATTATTTCTTATGGGTGTGCCCGAGATTGTTAGACAATTACAGATAAATGAATCAGAATAATTCAGGAAAAATATCATAAGATGTACTTAACATGAAAATTACCTGAAGACCAAGGGCCCATTTCCTTTCAACTGAAAAATGCTGCCTCAAGCTGGATCCTGGAGATTCTGGGCGTGTTTGGTTGGTTTACGTGGCCAGCTCACCTCGCCTCGCTCAGCAAGGCCAGGCTTGCCAGCTGCGCAAAGCGATTTCAGGTCGCTTGGGTTGGCGACGAAAATTGTGGAAAGCGCAAGAACCGAGACTTGAAGCAAACCAACCAAACGGTGTATCTTGATGCCGAGCCAAGCAAAGCAAGGCAAAGCGAAGCATCCAAATGTTCCCTCTGTAAACACATGCTGCTGAAGTTCAGTTGCTGAAGTTGGTGTTTCAGCGATTACTTGAGAGAAAGATGAATCCTAGAGATCATATAAAGCAAGACAGAAAATTAGCGAGAAATTTATAGCATCACAAGTACTGAACAACTTGCAATCAACATCTTGATATACAAGAGAAAAGAAAATCGTACTCACCATAGATTCTTGTAAATCAGATCCAAGATAAACACTGGTTGTACGAAGCCTATCATCCAAGAGTAAATAATAGGCAACTGTTGCCTGCACAGCCAAACTGTGTCATGATACCATAAAACACGACCAAAGGAAACAGAATAAAGCAGATACCTCATTCTGCAATCTGTTTTGCAGAGATGCAATTAGCTGATTCTTGTCAAAACCCATATTAAGAACATCATTAAGAGTTTCCTCGTTGAGCTACAAAATTCAAAACAATGTCATTTGCTGAAGTAGAAAAGGCAGAATAAGGATTTTACCGAAAAGCGCCATCTGCAAAAGCAGAGGATTCTAAATGGCCGAAGGAAACAAATACACATTGTCAAGTTGATACACAGACAATATAATCAATGTACCTTTTTAACTTGTTGTGCAGTGTCTGGAGGCGGCACAGCCAAATAGCGTGGAAGTTGAATATTGAACCACACATGTTCACGGATTTCCCGTATTGTAATCCTTTTCATTGGATCAACAACCAGCATTCGGGGAATCAAGTCCCTCGCTGAAGGTGATAAATGACTAGGAAGGGTATATATTCCACCCTACAATTACATATAAGAATTTACTGAGCATATTAAAAATAAAATATAAAGGAATCCTTTTTTCAGGTAAATCACTGAGATTATAGCTCACCTTTATTTTGTTAAAAAGGTTTGGAATATTCTCATCATCAAATGGGAGAGTGCCACAAAGAAGAGCATAAAGAATAATGCCACAGCTCCAGACATCAACTTCAGGACCAGCATATAGTTTACCAGATATGACCTAAAGATATGAGGAAGAATCGTGCCATAGCAAGCTATATACGTAAATGCAACCATGAAGAGTGCTAATTGCAAATCATGCCAGATGCAATACCTCAGGTGCTGCATAATTCGGGCTACCACAACTCGTCTTAAGAAAGTGACCATCACGCATAACATTACTTGAGCTAAAATCTGCAATCTTAACATTGCATCTTGAATCCAAAAGAATACTCTCTAGCTTTAAATGACGGTTGACAACCATCTTCCTATGGCAATATTCAACCCCAGATATGATCTGCATAAAAAGTCAATAAGAAAATTATCGAACTAAGCTCAATGAACCAAATAAACACAAATAATCAAGTTATTGATTGCAGATATGAGAGAAGCATGACGTTTAACAGATTTCAAATATTCATCAGGTCGCAAAACAGCTTATGCCAACCATATACAGTTCGAACTAGGGATTGCAATGCATTGTGCAATAGAAAGCCACCTGCTGAAAAAAACGGCATGCTTCTTGTTCGTGTAGTCTTCCTTTCTCAATGATGTAATCAAACAACTCTCCTTTTTTACAATACTCCATAACCACATAAATATCAGCAGGTGTATCTATCACCTCATAAAGGCGTATGATATGAGGATGCATCAATAATCTCAGCATCTTGAGATATCTCTTCACTGCAGGTACATAATAAGAGAGAATTAAGTTGAGTACTTCATCAGATAAAAAAAATTGCAAGACACAATAAGGAGCTTTGCTGCGTGTCTATACTCTATATATACATCACGCGCAAGCTTAAGAACCACAAACGAATGTTCAGCCTTTCTAAGAAACAAACGAATGTTCTGTACAGAAGGAATAAGCCCTGACCTTTCTCTTCCATTTCCAAGCCTCTGATCTTGCGGCGATTGAGGATCTTGATTGCCACCTCATGGCCAGTCAATATATGTTCCCCGATCTTCACTTTACCGAACGACCCAAATCCCAGGGTTCTGCGAATTCGGTAACCGCTCAAAGGGTTGGCATCTCTTCCAGCTCCCTCCATCGTGTACCTGAATTACAATCAAAGCATATCATACTAGTTTGAGGGCAAAGGAAAAAGGAAAGCTAAAACCATGCGAACTCGTGAGCATGAAAATCTACTATGCACTGAGCCACTGATACTATTCGAAGGTTGGATCTAGACGATCGAAACAAGTAATATTCCGATTCAGGCTAAGCGCGCGCACACACAGAGCACGCCTCAATTTACTCAGAGGAGAGGCGGGGAAGGCGAACCAGAATCCGTTGCCAAATCCTCAAGCTATCTTTCAGAAACTATTCGCACCCGATTGGCCTGGGCCTGTAGAAAACGAAGCTGAAGCGCCCCAAGAGCAAATCCCCAAACCCTGCACAGGCACACCGCACACCCGAACCGCTAGCGCGCCATCCCACGATGAGCTTACCTCGCAGCAGGGGAGAAGCGGCGAGCTGGGTCCCGCCCACCGGAGCAGGCGGCGGCGGAGGCGGAGGCGCGGCTCGCGGAGGATGCGAGGCCGGCTCGGGCCTGGACGGACGGGAGGCCGGGAGGGGACGGTTTGTCGTTTCGGCGGGCGCGTGGGATTGGCCATGCCCGCAACAATAATTTGGCAGGTCGAGCTCTCGGTCGTGTCCCATCCCAATGCTTACGTGACACGCACTGCGGTTACTGCTTGCCTGACCGCCTGGAACAAGAGCCGGCGCCTGAAACAGCCCAGCCAGGGATTCGAGTGGAGACCTGCCTCCGCGACCACGAACGACCCGACGACGGAAGGGGAGCGGCCGAGAGAAGCTGTTCGCCTGTTCCTTCACCTCGCATCCCTGCGACGTGCGACCTTGACTGCGGGCTGCGGGCGGGAGAATGGTGCCGAGCGTGGAGCGCCTGAGCCGACGAGTCGCAGACTCGTGGCCCGGCGCAAGCACGGCGCGGCCCGCCGGTATTGTGTGGGGCCGGCCCGGCATGGCCCGATGCAAAGGGCCATGGCCCGCACTCCAGGCACGCGGGCTAGCATGGCACGGCCCGTAAAATAGATTCAGCCCGATGATAGCCTAATATTTTTTTTCAAGGCAGGCTTTCTACTTCCTAAGAAGCCAACATGATCGGTTCTAAGGCCCAATACCATATGGCCCAATACATATACAACTTCCTCGTACAGTAGCCACGAATCGAAGCCTCGCTCGTGCGTTGACGCCGCTTCGTCTCTCCTTCGTGAGTCGCGACTCCGCCCAAATCGGCCGCCGCTTCCTACCTCGCCTCCTCTGTCGCACCATCGATCACCGTCTGGCCACCTCTACCTAGCTTCATCGGCAGCAAGCTCCTCCCCGAGGTCCGCGCGGCGCCCTATTGCTCGCCGCCATGGCGCCATCTCCGGCAGTCTACCCTCCCCGCTCGTCTCCTTCCCTCCTTCCCTTCTCCCCGCGAATCTCCGGCATGGGTGACGCCGTAGCCCCGCCGTTGGAGCGCGTCGCGCGCGGATCTGATGCCCGCCGCCACCGACACGGCTGTGGCAGAACCGCATAATCTAATGCCTCATAGGAGTGCTTGTCTTCCATTAGACACTAAGCACTCGAGGGAGAACACTAAATTACGCGGTTCCGTCGAGCACACCCCAGGGGAGAACCCGAAAATCCATATTTTTGCCATCAGGATCGCAAATGAGAGAATAAAGCTTACAACATTCTTAACCATTTCTTACACCACTTTTAGTACAACATCAGAGTATAATATTTATTTACTATAACAGCGGAATATAATTATATTATCAGAGTTATGAATAACTTAATGTAACAGCGGAATATAAACATGTTAACAGGGTTATGACAATTTAAGTTAACAGCAGAATGTAAACATGTGATCAGGATTATAACGGAAATAAATATCTATTCATGACATGTTGAAGTATTGATATATAACAACTATGACAACAGATTATAAATTTTTATTTATAAAAGCATTTTGTGAGAGTTGTAAATAAAAACTACGACGCGTAAAGGAATCCTCGTTGAGCCCACCAGGAGGTATCCACACACAAGGATCAGCTCTAGCATCCACCTGTCATCTGCAACAGGAGGAATAAAATCCTGAGTACTCAATTATACTCAGCAAGACTTACCCGACAGGAGGAAAGAAAATACTCTAAGGATATGCAAGGTTATCTGGCTTGTGGGTTTGTTGCATTTGCAGGAAACATTACTAAGCGTGAGTCCTTATATTCGATTTTTATTAATAGCCACATTTGTTCATTAACTAACCATTCTATGTAAGCACCTGTACTACTTTCAAGCAGGTGTAAGCAATCAGAGTTCCTTTTTTCATTTCAGCTTGCACCTTTTAGTTCTTACTACGGTGTTAGACACGAAACAAGCCGTACCGGATTGCTCTGCAATTCGCGAATCAATGCCCCCAGCTGGGTACACCGAAAACACATGCTCCGCTTGTACCCAAGGCACAAGTAGGACCAACCAATCACTCTCCTATCCTAGGTGTCCAGGTCCCCGTCCAAACTGGGACTCCAAGCCCCCGTCCTTGAGTCCGGACTCAGTGCGGTGTAAGGACCTCCTCCACCAAAATAAAACCCTAACAGACAGTCTAGAAAGAGCCGGATCCACGACAAGAGAGTAACAAGTCTTCCAAACGCCCATACCCAAGTATGTGCTCGGGATAATAAGTCTGTGATTTGCCTCGATGGCTTATGCAACGACCGGTCCTTAACCGACACAGACAGAGAAAACAGTGTAACCAAGCCATGCCCCGCGTCTACGGCGACACAACCTCTTACACCCACCAATACCCAAACCATATCCCTGCCCGATCACCATTTTTCCTTTCCACCATTTATATTTTCCAAGTGATAATGATATAGTAACATATTTCTATAGCTCGCGAGTGACAGGCAATCACCTGACTTCTACCGAAGTCCTATAACATAGCAATCTACACGATCATGTCATACTAGTAAGACTCATAAGACAAAGATATATATGCAAGTGGGTTTCATTCAACTCCTTAAAACTTAATGCACAAATATAATTTAAACTATAGAAAAGTAGAGGTTATGCACCGGAGCTTGCCTGGGTAAGATATATATTAAAAGTTAGTATCTACATCTTCAGATCATCCACCATCAACTGGATAGAAAGCTCATCGTATCGTCTCCTGGAGAGAATACCATCACACCATCTGTAGATTCCCACTCATCCTTCACTTAGATCCGTTGATCCACCATCGTACCTATATGATATGCAATGTGATGCAATGCAAAGACGTAATTAATCAACTGCAACCGTGACTTGTAAAATACGATTTACGCCTCTCAAGCTAACGAGCTAGTTCTAACGACGACCGTACTTACGCTACGTATCCATGTTGTCGAATAAGACGTTATTTTTCATATAGTATTTTAGTTATAGAAACCAAATTATTTCTTTATTCCATTCTATCGATTTAATCTTTATTCGAAATAGGACATCATTATTTATTTAGCAAACTAATTATTCTAGGGCTATAAAAATTATAGCGAGTACCTAATATTGCTAGGAGCCTACTGTACAAATTTTAGATTCAACAATCTTACCAAGTTATCATGAAAATTCCTACAAATTTATATTTTATAATATTAAGTACCCTAAATTAATTATGTAGCTTCCAAGAATATTATCACCATATGTGAACAAACTATACTAATAGGTAGATCATGATCTTAGGAGACTAACAAAACTGGTTGTATCATTTTTGGACACCTACACAATTTTATATTGATTTTATAAGTTTCAGCCATTTTAAACAAAAACTAGAAAAGATAGACACTTGGGCCAGCCTCGGCCAAGGCATCATGCTTGGTGCCAAGAGGCCCAGACACCGCAGCCAAGTCGGCGCTGTAGGCGGCCCACAAAGGCGTTCACTGGCGCAATGACCCATGGTCAGGCTGCAATTGCACGCTGCCAAGGCCCAGAGGGGGGGCAGCAAGACGACGCGCTTGACAACCTAAGCGCTGGCGGCTAGTCCAGCCTAGCAATGCTGGCCCAGACAGTGAGGTAGCCCAACACGGCACGGTGGCGGCCCATTTTGCAAAAACATCCCTGCGTTTCTAACAAATCACGCCGACGTACATCAGCACTATTCACTAAGGTCACGTATTTAGCATTGAGAACCCTGTATAATAATTCAGCTTGGATTTATACCCTACTCACCTTTTTCTCTCTTCGCAAAAGCAGAGCGCACGGAGTAGAGGAGCAACCCGCCAGCCCCCCTTTGGCGGTTCGCCGGCGGCGGAGGTGGAGCGGAGCCGCGCGCGGACAACAGCGAGACGGCCTGGCGCAATGGCAGCGGTGGATCCGATCAAGCTCAGCACGGGCACGCTGGGGGTTTTGCGCACGCTCACGAGGGAGGCAGCGGCGCTGCGGCACGGCACCAGCACGGCGTGGCCCCGACAGGCGCTGCGGGGAGGACGAACCGAAGGTGGAGCGGTCTAGCGTGGGTCGCGGGAACTCGTGCGCGCGCGCACACGACAGTCAGCGGCGATGCTCGCACCCGAGGCTCGCGACCATGGCGGACGGGAGCGGCCATGGCGATGGGGCGCTGTGGTGGTGCGGCACGTGGAGCGGAGACTCGGCGTGGACTCCGAGGCGAAACGCGGCCACGGCGGCCATGGTCGGAGCAAAGAGCCCAACACGGACCGAGAGAACGCGGCGCTTCGCTCCGTGGGGGGAGACGGTTTGGCGAAAGCAATGGCATGGTGGAGGGCGTGGCGCGCTGTAATCTGGCGATTTCAGAGGAGCAGCGGGCACTGCGGAGCACGGCGGTAGCAGCTAGGCCTCAGGGAGGGAGGAGCAGGGGCGGTGGCCAGACCATGGCGCTACTGGGGTTGGGACGCCACCTCACGGCTGCAGAAAAAGAAAGGGAGAGAGAGAGAGGAGCAACGCTGCCAACACGGAGGTGACCCGGCCAGACCTACCTTGGCGCGTCGTGCCTGAATGACAAAGGCAAACATGCACACGCAGATGCCTCAGTGGCATCGGCTCAGACAG